GGCTGAGCAACAGAACCAGAATGTGAAATACTAGTATATGCACAGAAGGTAGAAATCTGAGATAGGAGATTTTGTTATAGTTTTAGTTTTAACTTTATATTTCATATATATATGTATGTGTGTGTAGTATGTGTAGTATGTGTGTGTGTGTGTAGTATGTGTGTGTGTGTGTGTGTGTATATTTTAACATTTGGATTGCTAACAAAGAATTAAGGGAGAATGGAATAGCTATTTTGAGCTAATTAGCTCTCATCAGCCAAACATACCCTTCTGAGATTCGAACCTGGGCTGCTTGCACGTTAGGCAGCTGTGTTAACCTCTAGGCCACAGGCTCTATGTACATACACTATATATATATAGTATGTGTGTGTATATATATACTGTATATATATACACTATATATACACACACACACACACACTATATATATATATATATATATATATATATATATATATATATATATATATACATACTATATATATATATACACACATATACATATACATTATACATATGAAATATAAATACATATATATATATACACATATATATGTACGTACATATATATACATATACGTATACATATACATATACATATTCTTCCCCACTGATCTTGTTCTACTGTATTATATCTCAGAAAGTGCGTTTCAGAGGTCACAGCATAATAATGTAGAGTAATCATGTTCCCAGCAGCTGCGTTTCTTTCCCATAAAATGTTAAGCCTTCCAGATATCACCTAGCAAAACAAATTATAGTATAGAAGGGGTTCGGAGTGGGGGGGGAGCAGAACATCTGTTACAGATTAGAGAGAAAAATGTTTCTGGTTTATGGGATATTTGCCAAGAAATAAAGACAGTAATTCATTTTGAAAACGAAATAACTTGAAATTTATGTCTTCAAAAATGTATTTCAGAGGCCTTTTCAGCCTTTGAAAACGTTACTTCGAGTCTGCAGGTTAATTGTTATGAGCATTTGTTGGGAAACATTCATTTTCTAGCCACTGAAATATTTTCAGTTTGATTCCTTCCTGTTGCCTTCATCCATCCATCCTCCCATCCATCCCTGCATCCATCAATTCTCCCATCTATCTATTCATCAATCCACCAATCATCCATCCATCCATCCACCATCCATCCATCCCTCCATCCATCCTTCCATCCATCCATCCTCCCATCCATTTTTGTATTCTGGGTCTCCTGGGTCTTTTGCTTTACTTAAAATGTTTTGGAGGGCTTTTCTTGGGTTTGTGTGTTCTGGTAAATCCCATGTGGTTGTGATAGCCTGTTGAGATGTTTTGGATGCACGGCAATGTTATCCTGTTCACAGCTGTAGGGAGTTGAGTGGTGCGTTCCTTTTTACATAAAGAGTGCCAATGAAGGGGTCAAGAGAAAGTGACGATTGGATGGAGTTGCTGAAATTCTAGAAAGAAAAAAGTCCAAAGTTTAATGCCAAAAATCAGTGTGCAAGCAGTGGATGGAAGCAAGTGTCAAACCGTCCATCTAGCAAACTCAAAATCAAGGAATCTTCAAGGCTTTGAAATGCCATAAAAGACAAAACTTTATTGAATACACATCTCAGAACGGAAGAAGTGAAACCAACTCTAGTTTCCCCGCGCTGTTAACATGAACATCTTTATCCCATAAATTGTCAACCGTCCGGCTAGCGAATTCAACATTGAGGAAATTTTACAGCTTTCAGGTGCCATAAAAGATGAAGTTTATTGAATACACATCTCGGTATTGAAGAAGCGAAACCAACTCTAGTTTTCCCGTGCTAAAATCTGGTCAGTTAACAATTGCTTCCCATATCCTCCACCCAACAAGTGTTCACGCTGCCCAATCACACTTCCTTGGTTTGTTATGAGAACGGATCCACTTCTCTGTCAGACACCTGCTGTTCTGACCTTGGGTCTCATGGTCCGTGGACGGCTTCTTAGAATTCCCATACTTTCTCCCCTCCCTCTATGTTTCTATGGCAAATTGAATACCGATAGAAGTTAGCAGGCCTCTTAGCAACTCAACCTTGACAGCAAGTATAGAAAAGTATGGAGAAAAAGTAATGAAGGATTTTGGGTAAATTCACATCCCCCCTTCTTTTTCTTATCTCATGCCTTTAATTGGCTTGCCATGCTACTTCTTACTCCTTTCTGACCTCTACCTGACATTGCTTACCTCAAAAAGGAATAGCTGGAGAGTAAATTTGTGCGTATAATATTGATTTTCATCCATTCAGACTCTTTGTTCTCCTTCGCCATGGGAAGTTAGCCGGAAACGAGGGTGGGAGAGAGGTGCATTCAGCTGTCAAATTTCGTTCTGATGTCCCTGAGTTAAATGGGCTATAAGGAGGGGCCTTAAAAACAGCCTGTTGCATCGAGGATTCCTTTTTTTTTGTACAGTTCAGGCATCACTTCTTGATCTTTTTTTCAATCCCAGTATATTTCTTCTGGGAAATAGGGGATTGAAACTAAAGCTTTGCTTAATTTCGGAGGCTCTGGGTACTTTAGGGGCATTATTGGGGGCAGCACAATGGTGAATAAAATGCGAAGGATGTCTGTATATGATGTCTGTTCTTATTTGTGGTTTTTATTTATGTGTAGTGTGCATGGTGGACAGCACTTAATTTTTGTTGTGTGACAATAAGGATCTATTGTATTGTAGTGTATTGTATTGTATTCTATTCTATTCTATTCTATTCTATTCTATTCTATTCTATTCTATTCTATTCTGCATTCTATTCTGCATTCTATTCTATTCTGTTTTGTTCTATTCTATTCTATTCTATTCTATTCTATTCTATTCTATTCTATTCTATTCTATTCTTTCTAATTCTATTTTACTCTATTGTACCCTTCTCTGTTCTGTTCTGTTCTGTTCTGTTCTATTCATTTTCCTCCAAGCAGGTTTTTCTACCCCATTACGCCTATGGGCTTATAAACCAAATATTTCTCACAATTCTTTTAATGATCTATATATTTGTGTTTGTAGAAAGGTGATTCCCATTTTGATCTAACACACTGAATTTTCATGCCATCATTTGAAATCAAGGCCTTAATTATTATCTGTTGCTGGTTGTTCATCACTGTATCACTTCACACCATTCTGAGTTCTACCTGTGTAAGCTTTGATACGTGTAAACCCAGACTTAGGCAAAATATTATTCTACTAGTTACAAGTATCTCGCATTCAGTAAGATTAACAACCTATGCTTCTATTAACACACTTGTATAATAACATGGTCTCTGTATATACAGTATTAATCATTGTAAAGCTCTGCGTAATGCTTTTGAAGTATTTTCCTATATATTTTCATAAAAATCACAAAAGCACCTATATTCAAAGAAAACATCAGCATCCATCTGATGTTTATACCTACGATTTCTAGAATGGATGGAAATAACGTGCTTTATTTAGAATAAATTATTTATTATTTAGAATAAATACATCATTATAAAAATTGCTCTTGACATTATAAATGCAGAAGAAATATCTCAAACCAATTATCGACTTGCAACTGCCATTTTTTTTTAAAAAAAAAAACTGAAAATAGTTTATTTATGCCCATTTTATTTTCAGGCTAAATTGAATCAGACTGCTATTGATACTAGAATAAATTATGTAGCTTGAAAGAAATTCTGGCATATCGTAAAGAATCCCTGAAAAGATTATCCGGAGATAAAATCTTTCCTTTTAGATATTGTCTTCATGAGGCTGTATCTCATACCCACCCAATTCAGCCATGCTCAGTCCAGGAGATAATTTAACAAAAAATATCCACAAAATACCTAGTTTTGAAAGATGAAGTGGCGTTGGGAGATATTTGTGGGAAATGTATAAATAGGAGTCTGTTACAGAGGGTGGGGCCCTCCAATATCACAATCGGTAATTTCCTAACAGGATGGTCATGTAGAAATACGGGGAAGGATGGATCAGTGGTTAAAGATGCTGGAAAGCTCACAGCCCAGGTTTGAGTCCCGAGCGCTGCATGATGGGGTGAGCTCCCGTCACTTGCCCCAGCTCCTTCCCACCTAGGCAGTTTTAAAGCATGCCAGTGCGAGTAGATAAATAGGTACCACTTCGGTAGAAAGGCAACGGTGTTCCGTGGGCCTCAACGTACATGGCATATGACCATGGAAGAGTCTTCAGACAACACGGGTTCCCTCGGCTAAGAAACAGAGATGAACATTGCCTCCTAGAGTCTGACATGATTGGGCCTAGGAAACCTTTATTTGGGGAAATGCCTCTCTTGAAACCTGTTCCTATGAGAAATGTCTAATGGGGTCCTTGATGCTCTCTGAGCTTGCTTGTTTTCTTGTAGACGTTTCATTACCCATCTAGGTAACGTCATCAGTGCTAGAAGGGAGTGGGGTTTGCATGGAGGAGGAGGAGGAGGAGGAGGAGGAGGAGGAGGAGGAGGAGGAGGAGGAGGAGGAGGAGGGGGGGGGCGNGAGGAGGAGGAGGAGGAGGAGGAGGAGGAGGAGGAGGACGACGACGACGACGACAACGACAACGACAACGACAGTGGGGTCCATTTCTGCAAGAAAAAAAACAAGCTCAGAAAGTGCCAAGGCCCTCACAGTTCAACCCCAAGCTCCAAATATTCTCCTTTAAATGTCTATCTCCAATTAACGTGATGAATATTGATCCTACAAGGGAAGGCAACCTAGCTTAACTGGTGGACCTGCCATTATATTTACAGGGGGGGGCAGCAAATGGTCAATTACCAGGTTTTATTCTTATATTAGCACCAGTGGACCTAACATGGATTTTCTGCCTCTTGAACTGCAATTGCTCTGGGGTATGTCAGGTTGCATAGCTTTTAAACACGTCCCTTAGCTTTGTCAAGCCTGGTGTGCAACCCCTCCCTTCTGCGAAGCAGAAGACCGTTAAAATGGCAGGACCGAATTTCACGTCCCTTCCTGTTCCTTTGTTCCTTTGAATGATAAATGCCTTGCCGCGGCAATGGGGAATGACCGCATTTTTTTTCTTATTTTTTTACAGGTTGTTTTAGTCTTTGCTCTTAGCATTGGTGCTCTTGTAATATACTTCATAGATTCGTCAAAGTAAGTATTTCGAGATTTTTTTTCCTCCACCTTTCGTTAATGCAATTATGAGATTTTATTCTTGGCTTCATTCTTTGACTTAAGCTCAAAGACTTACATTGATCATCTGCATGTAAGTCAAGATCCATTAAAACAAGGGTCCCCAACCTATGATCCGTGGCCCAATACCAGGCCGTGGCCTACTGGCCACCGGGCCATGGGATAGGCTCACCAGTGTGTGCATGTGTGTGCGTGCACTCACCCTCACTTGCACTAGTGCCCGGACCCCCATTTGCACATGCACGCAGGTGATAGCCACCGCCGTTGCTAGCCCTGCACGCATGTACAAACGGGGCCTCTAGCACTCATGGGTTGCACAGTCCATTTGCACATGTGCACAACGCTAGGAGAGGCGGTGGCTAGCACCTGCATGCATGGGCAAACAGAGCCACTAGTGCTGTGCTGGTGTGCACAGCCCCACTTGCGTGCGCGCACATGTGGGCAAATTTCCCAGCTGCTCCCTTTCCCTCTGGGCTGCCAGCATGAAAAGGTTGGTGACCCCTGCATTAAAACACCCCATAGTTTTCCAGCTATGATTTCAAAGACGTTGGGAAAGTTATTTCGTGATTGTTCTTTTGCGATGGTTTTCTCATTGTTCTTTTGTCACTGTTTTTGCAATCCTCCTTCTCTCTTTAAATAGAAGAAGAGAAATAGAATTATCGTCCTGTAGTTCTGTTCTTAAAAAAAAAAATCCACAATACATCGTTAGTTCATTTCATGACTGTTCAAAGGCGCTGAAAAAGGGACTTATGGCCATTTTTCACACTTGTGACTGTTGCTGCACTCCCACGGTCACGTGATCAAAATTCAGACAGCCAGAAAAGTCGTAAAATGGGGCAAAACCACTTAACAAATGTTTCACTTAGCAACGTGGCCTCGTTTGTGAACGTAACTTGAGAACTACCTGTATAGACAAGTGTAAGTTGGAGGAATCGCCCTGAAAATGGCAATGTGTTTATATGTGTAACTACTGAAATTAATGAATATATTGCAGCTTACGTGGGAATTATCATATCACGCTATGTGCCCTAATATAATATGTGCCCTGACAATATACTGCAATCTGAATGACATCTGATGATGTTCTTCCCTGGTATTATCCCATCTGTAGAGATATTGAAATTAAATCATATTTCATTTTGTGGTGAGCAATGGCTGGCGATGACCTTAATGGCTGGGTGAAAATAATGTTATTGTGATAAAAGGTTACCATAGTCTGAACATAATGTCTTTTTTTTTCGGTTCTGCAATATAAATATAGTCATGTTTTGTTGGTTTATGGTTACAGTTTATCTTAATATAGTTGGTAACTGCAACTGTAGTTCCATTTTTAACTGAACATTCTTCCCTTTAATAGCCCCCTCCTGTTACACATATTATATCGTAAAAGAAGCTTTAGACTATGCTTAGGAACAGATTTTTAGCAAGCAGTTCTTGTTGAAATTTGCAGGACTAATAGAATTTTCCCTGTGTCTGAATTACTGTACACGTCATTTTTTTTTCAGACATACCCCTGAGATGTGAATGAATACGTGTGAATACAAACACACACAACCTGTTTGGGGACAACATTGTCTGGCCTGTGTGGCTGTAATAAAAATTAAGTTTGAGACCCCATGTAGCTCCCATGTAATGGGGAAATGACACACTGTTGTGCATAAGGATTGCTGGTTGTGGCTTAAATGATGTCCTTTTAACTTGCTGTACAGGACAAGAAGGCATACACTGGTGTGCAAAATAGAGTTGTGTGTGGCACTTGATTGCACTTAATTTGATAATCGTTTTGAGAATAGCATGCTGAATGAAGTGGAAAAGAATTACACGCCCCCAAAGAAATTGACTACTAACTTTACTCTCACTTCTCAAAAGTCATTTAACTTAGGAAACGTAAGTGGGATCCAGGATCTAAAGGAGATGATTATAGATGCAGGAGGGGTCAAGAGATACAGTTGATATAACAGCAATCTAAAATCAGTGGTCCTATGAAAAAGACCCCCTTCCTTTCTTCCTTGCTCAACCTCCTCTGCATTCATTGTGATTTAATACCGCTTGTCAATTTTATTTGCTCATTGTTTCATCATGTCAAGCGTACAGGGACATCCTTGAAATAAAATGTCATTTTCACTCGGGTTATGCAGTGATCTAAGTTTGAAGAGGAACACATGATTAAAAGCATCTGTCAGCAGGTCCTCCAAAAAGGCTATTCTTCCTGGGCATTCCTGCAGTCGTGTCAGAACCGATGTGAAATCCCAGGGACAGACACAGTAATTTGACAGCATTGTAGGGAGTGCTATCTTTGGATCCCAAAGCACCTATTCTGAACCATTTCTGAATTGTTACATAATTGTACTATGCATCCCGTGTGCTGGTAAGAGGATGTGGGTTTTTAACCTACCAGGACTCTCCTTTGTCACGCAGAGGTGGTGACCTTGCTGCCATGTTTTATTTTGCTGTGTCTTGGAGGCTGCAAGGAGTGTGACCGTTGAAGTGATCATGATAATGGGAATTTTATCTTTTGGAAGGATTTGGGAGGCTTTTTTTGGGGGGGGGTGAATTAAATAAGGGGTCCCCAACCCCTGAGTCCTGGACCAGTACTGGGCTGCAGCATGCCAACAACCAATCCACACAAACTAGCAAAGCCCCATCCGTGGGATGCAGGCAGCACACAAAACCACACCCCCTCCGGTCCACGAAAAACCTCTCTCCACATAACTGGTCCCTGGTTCCCCAAAGGTTGGGGACCTCTGAATTAGATCTTGCATCTCAAAATCTCCTAAAATGGGAAAATAAGTGTGCTGTCCCATTCTCGTTCTCTTTCTTTCTCTCTCTCTCTCTCTCTCTCTCTCTCTCTCTCTCTCTCTCTCTCTCTCTCTCTCTCTCGCACACACACACACACACACACACACAAATACACACATGTAACTGTGGTTTAGTGGGTTTATTAATATCCTCCCACAATTCCCTTCACCAAAAACCCAGAACTATCCCAATTAAGACCGGCCTCAAGCAGACCGATGCTAGTCCACAGAGCAATGCCCAATGAGTCCACAAGGCACTTGAAAGTTTCCCAAACGAGGTAAACCCACCAGGCAAAATTAAATCCACAAGGCAAGAGGGTTCAAGAGACAAGAAAAGTCCAGAGTTCACAGAGCACAAAGGCAAGGCAAGGTGTCAATCCAAAGCAAGGAAAGAATCACAACAACCAGAAAACACATAGCTAGGAAATGAACACGTTGTTCCCAGCATCACTTCTCTCTCTCTCTGCTGTGCTAAATAACCAGCTTCTGGTGCAGCCCATCTAGAAGGGCAAGGCTTTCTCCTCTTGAGTAATCTGGCTGACCTCCTCTGCTCCTGCCTTTTCTCTATGTGCTCTCAGATCAGGTGCAGAAGGCAGTTCCTCTTCCTCATCACTGACTGGCTGCAGCTTTCCCCGCCTGAAGCCTCAGGGCTGTCCTGCTGCAGCTGTGCTTCAGCCAAATCCCTCTTAGATGGCTGCCTGGAGCCATTGACCAAATGCCCTCCAGACGTGCCTAGAAATTGTTCATCCTTCTCTGAGCTGACATCTGGAGAGGTATCTGGGGAAGCGTCCAGCGGAGTCATCACAATAAGTTGAGAAGTTGGGGAGAAATTAAGAGTTGTGGTAATGCTTGTAACTTCTGCAAGATCAAACTGGCATCATCCCAAATAATGAGACCAAAGAAAGACGAAAGAAATAAGATCTCTATCAAGTGGGGATTACACCCCAAGATCTCTATCAAGTGGGGATTACACCCCAAGATCTCTATCAAGTGGGGATTACACCCCAAGGTTCTCAAGGAACTAGCAAATGTGATCTCTGAACCACTGAACTATATTTTTCAGAGATCCTGGAGCACAGGGGAACTACCAGAGGACTGGAAAAGAGCTGATGTAGTTCCCATCCTCAAAAAAGGAAAAAAAATGGACCCAGGAAATTACAGACCTATCAGCCTGACCTCAATACCTGGGAAGA